ATTGTTGGAACAACAACTGTAAGAACATTGCTACAAGTCTGCTACAACTTGTGGGTTTATACGTGTATATATTTTACACCTTATTTGAACGACTGCTCAATATTCGAATGTAGATACAGCAAATGGATATTGGATTGAATATTGAGGAAAAGTTTACCTGTCTGTTCACGTCAATATTTCTTTGCGCCTTCTCGCTATTGATGACATCTTGTTCAGTGATCACTCCCGACTCCAATAATTGCATCAATTGTTGTTGATTAAGATCATCACCAGGATTGGCCTCAGGATACCCTGCCTGACCAGAATGCCCTGCCTGACCAGAATACCCTGCCTGACCAGGGTAACCTGCCTGACCAGAATACGCTGCCTGTCCAGAATACCCTGCCTGACCAGAATACCCTGCCTGACCAGAATACCCTGCCTGTCCAGGATAACCTGCCTGGCCAGGGTGCCCTGATCTAGGATAACCCTGGCTAGGATCCAGGTTTCCCATTCTTTTCACCCTAGCCTCAACTAAACGATTCAGCTCCTCTGGGCTATCTATGGTGTAAATCTCATGTTCTGTGATCAATCCTTTTTCGTGTAATTCCCGTTTTTCTGCGTCAAATAATTTCCCTTTCTCCTTTTCCGATAATTGCTGTTCTCTTTGTTTCTGGGCATCGAGTATCTTCTCCCCGGGAGAATAGCTGTTGTCGTATTGTTTCTTAGCTGGTAACGGGGGGGTGTCGCCTGCTTTAGGTGACATGTAGATGCCTCCTTCGAGGGGACGAGTTTTTGGAGTCATGAATACAGCTCCTTGTTGTGTTCCACACGCTCCTGTCGCTGGGAGATTAGAGGACGCCATGGGCTTTGCTGGCGAGGGTGCTGATTTCTAGGAATAAATATATTCAAGAGGTTACTAGACAGCATAAAGCAAACATAATAATAATAATATTTATTCAGGAAGCTCCACTCACCGAAGTGTTTTTCAGGGAGGTCCTGTAACATATATCTATATTATACATGGTAAACTATACTATGCTCATTTGAAAACTATAAAATATTTACAAATGGATTATATATAATTATACTTCATAGTTAGTTATAATTATACTTCGTAGTAGTTGTTTTTCTGGCGTGTTTTATGGCTATGTATATGGGAGATCATGGTAAGGTTAAAATCAAAGTCGACTAGATTTAAAGACAGAGATACAACGGTGGTATTAAATGCATCATTTTCATTGAAACGATCTGTGCCAGTGTAGGCATGGAACTACGGGAAAAATACAAAGAGAACTGCGACGTTTCGAGCCAAGGCCCTTCCTTAAAAAGTTAGCAGCCAAACGAAGAAGGAAGGACCTTCGAAGCCACTTCGTTCAAAACGCTCCATCCACAGCTATTTGAAAGAAACAGAATTGAGAGATGACGTTTAATTGTCTAGTTCCCACACGTGTCAACATTTTTGACGTCGAGCACCATCCGCTGGCCTGGAACGACGGCTCAAACCAAGCAAAGAGGTATTCAACCTGATTCATACTCGGGGTTTTCACTTCCGCTTCTGGGTTTCGGAGGGTAGTGGAAAGCCCGAGTATCAGGTTGGGAGTTATTAAAACAAGTCTTAGTAAATAAAGATTATGTTTACCTCTACGAGATTGGGGAACTTCTTGAGATCAGAAGGTGTTCTAAAACATGCCTGACAGACTTTGGTCGTCAAAGGATTGGCAAACGTACAATGTTCACATGTCCATTCCAACAATGCATCCATGTCTTCATAAACTGAATCTTCCCCGTGACTAACACGTGTAGCCAAGCCTGGTCCACGTGGAGGATCTGGCAGAGTTCTACTGGCTAGTTCCTGTGCCTTGGCCATCTCTTTAAGTAACGTTTGCTGGTTGGAGATATCCGAGGGAAAGTTAGGGAGTTTTGTTGCTGCCGAGTCCAAGTTAAACCTTTGTTGTTGTTGTTGTTTCTCTTTGTTCAAGCTCGGATCACAACTTGGACACTGTCCTTGAGATGCATCATACAGTAACGAACAGTTCGGACAAGAGAGGAGACGCTGAAGAGGCTTGTGACCTGTTTGCTTCTGAACACTCTCTCCTGATTGGTTGAAACCTCGAGGACTGTTTCCTGATTGGTTGAAACCATGAGGACTGTTTCCTGATTGGTTGAAATCTTGAGCCCTGTTTTCTGATTGGTACATATTTTGATGCGTACTCCCGGATTGATTGAAACCCTGGTTATGTCCAGTGAGAGGAGTTACAGCATAAGCTCCATGCATTGCATTCAACCTCTGATGTTGTTGAGAAGGACTGACGTGGATACTCATGTTGCCAGGTGACGTCATGTGTGACGTCATGTTGTCAGGTGATGTTCCAACCTGAGAAGGTGGTCGTTTGACCTCCTGATTACCAGAAGGATTATCTGAAAATTCAAGAACATCTCATTAATGAGTTTAGTGGAGTGTAAAACTTGAAACGCCAAGAACTGTTTTTATCCCAAGAATAGCGAATAAACGTATTTTACTTACAACGTTGAAACGCGACGTAATTACTGGGATCTTGGAAATTTTGAGAATTTCTAAGATTACCGTCTTCTGCTTTCTGGCTTTTGCGTTGTCGTGGAACAGGCACAGGTCGACGCCTGAAAAAAACCCAGAATGCTTCGTGAATGAAAAGTCGTAAGAGTAAGTATCACGTTACTGTATGTATTAGCTCCATACGGTTGCCGCAAGCCCTAGGGGTGCACCGGAACCAAGTTTTTAAGTTCCGACCGGAACCGGAACTGATTTATTAAGCCATGTGTAGTCATCTGTTACTTTGTCTGCTGCCATACAGGCAGACACTTCATGTCATCAAAGAGAGAGCTCGCAAATGGTCTAATAAAAAGATTGACAAATATTAAACATCATAATGAAGTTTTAATAGTGTAAATTTTCCTTGTGTAGTTCAAATTTCCTCCTGAGATGCGATCTGTTCAGTCTGTTTGATCGATGCTATTCAATAAATAAACTTGATACTATGTGTCTGAAAACGACAGAGTTCCGGTTCCGGCCATGCTTTTTTTATTAGTTCCGGCCGGAACCGGAACTCTGAAAAATCGTGGTTCCAGCCGGAACTAACCGGCTGCAACCGAGTTCTGGTGCACGCCTAGGAAATGTAATACCTCTTCCCGGCAGCAAAATCCAAAAATAAAAATTTCCTTAACAAAAATTTCCCGCACGGTGTGAGAAGTTTAAGTAAGATATGGGTGCCCTAAAGAGGCTCAGTAGAGTGTTTATAGAGAAACTACATGATAATTTTGTCGGAGCAAGGCTAACCGTCTGTATTAGAAAGATGTCCATAAAGAGGTTTGGCTGGAAATAAAAAGTTAAAAAATGATTTTTTCTACCTTCTTTCATCAGCAGCGTTGTCTTTGGCAGCAAGAAGTGAAGTTCTGACATGATTTCTTCTCAACTTATGACAATGCCAGCGTTCATCACATTCAAGACAAAACTGCATGTCACATTGAACACAGTTTTTGGCAAGATTCTGTTCACTGCAGACACCACAAAACCCACCCCCCTGGATTGAAGCATCAGATATGCTCCCCCCTGACATGCTACCAAAGCCAGATGGGTTAAACAGCAGGAAAGGATGTCTATTGTTAATCAAAGCATCAGTCTCATGACGCGCGATACTTAAGTCTGCAGTGAGAACTATGATGGTTTGGTTGTTTGGTTGGTCAACTTCAGGAGGGAATGTTAGAGCAATCCTAGTTTCCTAGAAATTGGAGAAATAATATTGTCATGATGGGTTAGTTTAAGGCAGTGGCAGGCACTTTGTTAACTACTGGGGGGGGGGGGGCTTGCCAATTTGCCACCATATTCACATGTCCTCCAGAAAATCAGTGTGTGGTGAGAACCTCAACCATGTAATGTTTTTGATGTTACTCTGAACGTATATCCACATGGGGCAGGCTGACCATGGTGGGAACCTCAACCATGTAATGTTTTTGATGTTATTCTGAGTGTATATCCACATGGGGCAGGCTGACCATGGTGAGAACCTCAACCATGTAATGTTTTTGATGTTACTCTGAGTGCATATCCACATGGGGCAGGCTGACCATGGTGAGAACCTCAACCATGTAATGTTTTTGATGTTACTCTGAGCGTATATCCACATGGGGCAGGCTGACCATGGTGGGAACCTCAACCATGTAATGTTTTTGATGTTATTCTGAGTGTATATCCACATGGGGCAGGCTGACCATGGTGAGAACCTCAACCATGTAATGTTTTTGATGTTACTCTGAGTGCATATCCACATGGGGCAGGCTGACCATGGTGAGAACCTCAACCATGTAATGTTTTTGATGTTACTCTGAGCGTATATCCACATGGGGCAGGCTGACCATGGTGGGAACCTCAACCATGTAATGTTTTTGATGTTATTCTGAGTGTATATCCACATGGGGCAGGCTGACCATGGTGAGAACCTCAACCATGTAATGTTTTTGATGTTACTCTGAGTGCATATCCACATGGGGCAGGCTGACCATGGTGAGAACCTCAACCATGTAATGTTTTTGATGTTACTCTGAGCGTATATCCACATGGGGCAGGCTGACCATGGTGGGAACCTCAACCATGTAATGTTTTTGATGTTATTCTGAGTGTATATCCACATGGGGCAGGCTGAAAAGGCAGGCTGACCATGGTGGGAATCGAACCCGCGGCCTTTGGGATAACTATTCAGCTTGCCCGGTGTGGATATACACTCAGAAAAACATAAAAAACATTACAGTATATTCACCTGAGTACATAACATCAAAACACACACAAAAATATCCAACCATGTAGTTTTGTGACGTACCTGAGTGTAGCCCATTTGTTTAAGAACATCTATAGCTCCTTGAACAGGGTAGACCATATTTTGAATAATGCTTGTACTAAACTTAATCTCTTTCCATTGTGGAGGTTTTTCATCTCGTAACAAATTGATTGCGTATTTCTCCAAGATAGATAACGCCCCAGGAAGTGTGCCTATATCATTCTAAAAAGATTTTACACCAGCTCAGTTTCACTACGCACTATCATGCAGCAGATGATGGTCTGTTATCAGAATGAGAAAATAATGTTAATTCTTTCATTATATGTGGTAGTCTGGTATTTGGAGGAAAATACACAGAATTTAGAGATCAACTTTTGTGATGTCTTGTTTGAAAGTCATTTGCTGCTTTATTATGAATTATGAACAACGATTAAGTTATTTTATTTTATTATATAAAGTATAGTGCTTTATAGAGATTTCGAGCACTGATAAAAGTGATAATCTCACATGTGAAAATTATCGCTTTTCAATTATCGTTTTTCTGTAAAAATTATCGCTTTTCAAAGACTGTCCTTTATATAATAAACAGAAAAATACATGGATGCTTGGAAATACCAGATTTATTTCTCGTGTTGAACATGATATCTCACACGTTCACTGCGCTCACTTGTGAGATATCATGTTCAACACTCAAAATAAATCTGGTATTTCCAAGCACCCATGTATTATTCTCTATATCTTCTTAAGGTTTATATTTATCTTTACCCATGAAGAGAGGGTGCTAGTGCTCCTAAACATGTTAATTAATCTGCCCATGTGTACCCAAAAATTGCACCAGATTGTGCCCTACTTTATTATTTTACTCTGTCTAATTCCAGAGAATATTATTACTCATCAAGGGGAGAGCACTGGTGCTCAATGAGTAAATCACACTATCTTCTCATGTGTACCCATAAACTGCATTGTGCCCTAATACACCCCTACTTTATTTTTTCTGTCTAACACCAGACAATTCTACTCATCAAGAGGAGAGCTGGTGCTCAATGGGTTAAATTGCACCTTGCAGAAACCATGAAATTCTGACATTGACCATTATCTCCTCAACTCTAATCCTACAACCTAATCGTAACACTAACCTTAAAGGAATACCCTAATCACAACCCTAATCCTCACAACATCAATTTGAGATCGTAACGTGGAAAGTCTCCTCAGTGAAATAATGGGATAATAGAACACTACCTTGTTATTTTCCAACAGTTCAAAGAATTTTAGGATTCTATATTTTCTGTTTGGAGACGATGCAGCAAACATACATGCGTTTGCAAGGTTGGATTTCTCCACATCGTTCAAATATTTCTTACAGGCTTCGTCCAAGTCATAGAGAAGTCGAGGGAGTGTTGAATCTCGATTCTTTTGATCTGCCGACACATCCGAGTTCTTTTGTTGTACGCAGCTTGGCAGTCCACACTGGTCAGGGCAAGACTCTGGAGAAGAAAGCAAACAATTTGAAATAAAATAAAACAAATAGTAACATCCATTTGATAGTGATTTTTTCTAGCTTTCTAAAATTGGATACATTCACATTATTTGTGGAATTCATCCTACAATGTTTTTCAGGCATTTTTATAATGATTGACCAATAAGCGGTATCGGGCTGATTTTTGCCTTATCAGCAGACAATCGGAATGGGTAGATTGTTGCACAATCGGTCAAATGTGTACAAATTTCAATCAAATTTTGTCCATACCTCTGTAAGTGCTTTTTAGTATTTTCGATTTAAAATTTGTTGTTTTGGGGCTAAATGTGGCAATTTTTCCTTTGTGATATATTCTGAATGCGTAGTGAGCTAACGTGTGGGCCCACAGATCGGATCTATTGTTTGACACAAAAAATGTAAACAAAACACGCACACAAGCAGAACAGACTTGACAGCCTCTTTAATCCTTGGCATTGCACCCTAATTTGTTATTTTACTGTCTAATAGCTAATGGCAAATTATTTCACTAAAGGGAAGAGTGCTAGAACTCAAGACAGTGGGTCATCGCACTCTGATATGCCCTACTTTGTTATTTTACTCAGAAAGAGTTATGGGCTAGAATATCTGATGGATAACACTGTTCAGACTTTGTATACATGTAATTGATCCCAACCAACCTTGATACAGAGTACAACCTAAATGGGCCATTGCATTTTTTATCTGCACCCCCCCTATTGAGGACATGTGGAATTTCCAATGGCCCCCTGCAAAAGTGAACCAAAAATGAAGGAATTTCCATGGGAGGGTCCAAATTTTAAAGCAAATCTGCAGAAATTCCAAAAGGTAGGTAAGAAAAATGAGTAAAACGTATGGAATTTCCATGGGAGGGTCAACAATGGAAAAGAAATTCCAAAGGATAGGATCAAAATCAGCAAGGAATTTTCCAAGGGATAGCTACTAATCAAAGAATCAATATGGAATTTCCACTGGCTAGATCAAAAACTGTCAAGGAATTTCCATGGGATGGGTTAAAAGTTCATAAAAAATTTGCGGAAATTCCATGGGGATGGCTAAAATTCAATAAAAATCTGCGGAAATTCCACGGGGGAGGCAAAAAATTCGCTTAAAAAATGTGGAAATTCCAGGGGAGGGGGAACCAAAAAATGGATGTCCTCAATAGGGGGGGGTTTGGTTTAAAAATGCAATGC